AGAGCGAGCTGCGAGCACTCAGCACCTCTGGAAACACATTTGTGAGTTTCTAGCTCTTACGGTTGCAAGGAAAACCTTCCAACCAAGAGTACCTGGCGCAATGCTGCCCTCCTCAGTCTGGAGCCTGAGACCCAATTTCTCAGACAGCAGCACAGTGCCCCATTCATCCCAAGCTGGCATTAACACTGAAACCTAATAATGGTGACCCAAATGTCAACTTGTTCACTATTTCACAGCTGATCAGCTTTTTAGCAGAAGCATCCAGCCGATGTGCTTATCCCACCATTGCAAATTGCCTTCCCCATGCTCAACTATCCCCTCCCCCACTTCCCCCTACCTGAGAGTTATGCATCGTCAATCCAAAAATCTGCAAGGAGAAAAAATCCAGGGGTGACATTTGATGTGGAATAGCACAGGAGCCCCTGCACTGACTTCAGTAGCCACATCAATATTCCAGTCTGCAAAATCCTCCATTTAAAAGCAATGGACCTAAATCTGACCCTTTCAGCCCAGCCAAGATACGGAATGTTGATTGTATGCCAACAAAAGCAACAGTGCGAGAGAGCTAGACTGCCCAGCACAGGCTCACGTGGATTGGTAGCTAATGTGCATTTCTCTGGGTTTCTCTCCAGGAGGATTTCCTTCAAGGGCTCCCTGTCCGAGGCCCAGGTGCGGGAGAGCAGCCAGGAGCTCCTGAAGGGCTACCTGAGTGACATCATGGAGTCCATCATCGGCTCAGTGGAGAAGTGTCCCGCTCTCATGAGGGTGGCCTTCAAGCAGCTGCACAAGAGGGTAGAGGAGCAGTTTCCAGAGGCAGAGCATGAGGTCAGGCAGTGGCACAGGGTGAAAACTGAAACAAAAAAGTCTTTTAGCACTTCTGCCATTTCCATATTTTCTATTATAGTTCCCCTTCCCCACCCTCATTGAGTAACGGGTCTGTCCTGTCCTTGGTCTTCCTCTTGCTTCTAATGTATTTGTAGAATGTTTTCTTGTTACCTTTTATGTCTCTAGCTAGTTTGATCTCGTTTTGTGCCTTGGCCTTTCTAATTTTGTCTCTACATACCTGTGTTATTTGTTTATATTCATCATTTGTAATTTGACCTAGTTTCCACTTTTTAGGGGCCGCTGTTTGATGTCCAGAGGAGGGGGGGGCGCGTGGTTTTTTTTTTTTTTTTTTTGCGCCGCTTGGGGCGGCAAAAAACCTAGAGCCGGCCCTGGCTCTTGTGCCCTTAATAATGTCTCTTTGAAAAACTGCCAACTGTCTTCAATTGTTTTTCCCCTTAGACTTGATTCCCATGGGATCTTACTGACCAACTCCCTGAGTTTGCTAGTCTGCCTTCTTGAAATCCAGTGTCTTTATTTTGCTGTTCTCCCTCCATTCCTTAGGGCTGGTCCACACTAACCCCCCAGTTCGAACTAAGATACGCAACTTCAGCTACGTGAATAACGTAGCTGAAGTCGAAGTACCTTAGTTCGAACTACAAGGTACTTACCGCGGGTCCACACACGGCAGGCAGGCTTCCCCATCGACTCCGCGTACTCCTCTCGCGGAGCAGGAGTACCGGCGTCGACGGCGAGCACTTCCGGGATTGATTTATCGTGTCTAGACAAGACGCGATAAATCAATCCCAGAAGATCGATTGCTTACCGCCGAACCCGGAGGTAAGTATAGACGTACCCTTAGAATCATGAACTCTACCATTTCGTGATCACTTTCACCCAAGCTGCCTTCCACTTCCAAATTCTCAACCAGTTCCTCCCTGTTTGTCAAAATCAAATCTAGAACAGCCTCCCCCCAGCAGCTTTCTCCACCTTCTGAAATAATAGATCCCTATGCCGGATCTGCTGCTTGGCAGGCCCCAGCCTGGGGGACTCCCATGGGAATGTGTGTGGGACAAGAGAGGCTAGAAGCAAGATGATAAAGGAGGGCCTACGCCGCAGCCCGAGCCCACATGTTCCCATCTCAGCACAGGGAGCAGAGGGCTCGCTGCTAACATAAATCCCAGCCCAGAAGGAGCTCTCAAGCTCCTCCCTCCCTCCCTCCAGGCCCACACTGGCATCAGGCTGCTCAGAGTGCGGCACTCACACTAGAGATCGCCAGCATTGCAGTGAGGGACCGTGTGCATCCCTAGCCCCTCGCTTTCTCAGAATGCCGCCTTGATCTAGTCACTCAGCTCAGTCAAGAGAGAATGTCCTATACCAGGCAGGATGCTGCCAGCACCCCAAGGCTTCCAGTGCCAGCTGGCACCTCACTGGGCAATGTCCTCATCTCGACCAGACCCAATTAGATGTGTGAGATTTACCTTTAGCAGTTTGCCTCTCCTGGGAGATCAGTACTGTTTGGGGAAGGATGCATTGGGGTTTTCCTCTGAGCAGCTAGTTCTTGCTATGGAAAAGCATCTGCAAACAACTTGGTTTGTGACATTAGGCATTTCCCCCTGAACGGATGGTGCTTTGGGCAGATCCTGGTCTCAGGTCTGGCAATGCGGATATGGACCCACTCCGCTGCAGCCACTGGAGTCACTCCAGATTTATCCCAGCAGGCCCTGGCATGGATCCCCGCTGCTCTCACACTCACCTGGTCCGGTTCAGCTCAATCTTACATGGGTCCAACTCGATGTACTTCTTTTCCTCAAAGATCCGGTTTATGATCGGCTTCAGGACCTCATGGAGATAGGGCATCCCAACCACCTGCAGAGACAGCAGAAAATGGAGGAATGATGGAGGGGAGTGGGAAGGGGTGAGAGAGAATGGGGGAAGCAAGAAGGAAGGAAGAGCTCGGGAATGGGAGGAGGATAAAGGGAAGGAACGGAGATGAAGAAAAAGAAAGAAAGAAAGAAAGGCCAGACTGGGTCAGACTAATGGTCCTTCTAGCTCAGTATTTTGTCTCTGGCAATGGCATACCAGATGCTTCAGAGGGAGTGAACAGAACAGGGCAATTATCGAGTGATCCACCCCCTGTCATCCAGTCCCAGCATCTGGCAGTCAGAGATTTAGGGACACCTGGAGCATGGAGTTGCACCCTGCCCATCTTGGCTAATAGCCATCGATGGATCTGTCCAGGAACTTATGTCATTCTTTTTTTAATCCAGTTGCACTTTTGGCCTTCGTTTTTGGCAGCGAGTTCCACAGGCTGACTGTGAGTTGTGTGAAGTAACACTTCCTTTTGTTTGTTTTAAACTTGCTGCCTATTAGATTCATTTGGTGACCCCTAGTTCTTGTGTTATGAGAAGGAGTAAATAACACTTCCTGATTTACTTTCTCCACACCAGCCATGATTTTATAGACCTCTATCAAATCCTCCCCCCAGCCCCATCGTCTCTTTTCTAAGCTGAACAGTCCCACTTTTTTCTCTTTCATTGGGTGGAAGCTGTTCCACACCCCTAATCATTTTAATTGCTCTTCTCTGCAGCTTTTCCAATTCTAACATATCTTTGTTGAGATGGAGCAACCAGAATTGCACACATCTTTCAAGGTGTGGGTGTACCATGGATTTATATAGACGCAATCTGATATTTTCTGTCTTATTATCTATCCCTTTCTTAATGATGCCCAACATTCTGTTCGCTTTTTTGACTGCTGCTGCACATTGAGCGGCTGTTTTCAGAGACCTATCCACAGTGACTCCAAGATCCCTTTCTTGAGTGGTAACAGCTAATTTAGAAAGGATGAACAATACAGAGAGGAGAGATGAGGAGGAGCGATTGGAGAGTGCCACTCATTACAGGTTCTGCGACCCAAGGGACAAGCCCCAGGTTTGACCCTAACCTGCCTTCCAGGGGATTGTTGTAGCCTCCTATCACTCTCAGCACCCCCTCTTGGAGCTGTAAGGAACGGTGCTTGCCATCCTCTGGTGGAGAAAGCTGGTTGCAAGGGGATCCCAGGGGCACAGACAGCACCAGGAAGAAGGGGAAGCTAGGGCAGTAAATGCCACTGAAAGGGGTGCCACAGCTCTCTTTGTGAATGGCAGTGGGGAGGGAGAGAACAGTTTTGTTCTCACTGCCAGAGAGGGGGGAACTGATGCATGATGGTTACCTCACCAGGAAATCCTGGCCCCTATAGTGCTCACCACAGATCAGCACGCTACACCCCTCCGAGGGTGGCCTCAGGGTAAAACAGCTTCTCCCGCCCCTGGCAGAGGTGGGTTTATTATGCTGATCTCCCTTCAGCAGAGAGCATGGTCACCAGACGCACTGCAGTGGTGCAGCTGTATGTGTAGATAAGCCCTTAATAAACACCTCAGGGTATATCTTCACGAGACATGTTGCCCATTAAGCACTGTGATCCTTGGGGTAAAGAACAAACATTTGTAGCCGGGATGAAATGTGTGGGGTGTTTTCACAAAGGTGTTAACTACCCCAAACTCATTGGCAATCATTTACCTGGAGACACAAGAGTCTAGTGAAGACAAACCCCCAAATTTAGCCCTTCTGGGGCTCTTCTCATGGCCAGTGCACACTCCTGGCAGATCAATATTAGCAGACAACCAGCTCCCTGCATCCACCACCTATCCCACAGACAAGAACACAGAGAGGTTTGCCCAAGGCCACCACAATTGGAATCTGAAGTTCCTGGCTTCCAGCTCTGTGCTTGGACCAGCATGTCACTTTTCTCATGGTGTTATTTCACAGGCCGCACAGGGAGGAGGATGGAAGAGGGCTCTTAGCATACTGAGGTATGGCACAGATCAGAGTTGCTAACACCTGCTTTCCCAGAATTCACTGGGACACTCCACCACACTCACCTTCATAAACTGCTCCATGGATTTGGAGGCCAGGGAGTTGGAGCGGAAGAGTGTGTTCGGATCAGCTGGAAGCAAAGAAAATGGATTTATAACCCAGCCGGGACCTGTGCCACATTGCATTTTCACAGTGCCTTTCACACAGCCTCCATCCCACGGTGCATTGCAGGGCAAAACAGCACCAGACAGTGAACAACACATGGCATAAGCTAGACACAGCACGGGGGTAGGTCCAAAGATGTTGTCAGAGCCTTCAGAACCTCTGGCCAGCAGTACAAGGACAGAGAGACTGAGGTGCCAGCAGCAGGGAGCAGATGGGTTTCCAAGGGAGATCGGGAAGAAGGGGGGGTGGAGACAGTCAGGCTGCTTCAGGCAGCAGGAGTTGCGGGGGAGAAGGCGCTCACACCAGCAGAGACAGAGGAGAGGCTGGGGCTGTGAGGAGCAGAAGGCGGTGGACAGACAAATGCTGGATCCTGAAATAATGGGGAGCCAGCTGAACGGCTTGAGCACGGTGGGGAAATGGAGCAGCTATTCTCTGCATGTGCAGGAAGGGTTCTGGAGTCAAGGGGGCCAGCCCGGGGTCAGGGGAGCATAGGACTGGGGGCTGCCCCTCAGGTGAGAGTGGGGGAGACATGCATGAGGATCTCAGCAGAGATGGAGCCATGTCACGTGCAAGGGGGGCAATGCCCTGGAGAGCCAGCAAGAGGCGAGGGGATAGCAAATGGAGACTAGAACCCTGCCCTGGTTCTTACCTTGGAAGGCTGGTCCCAGGAAAGAGACCCAGGGCCTTATCCCCGGCCACACTAAAGCCCTTGGACTCTGATAGTGTGAAGTGGGGAGGAAGCCGGAGAACTCCCCTGCTTATGTGGCCTCCCTGACCATGTAGGATGGCGTAAGGGCTACAAGGGCCCCGCTCTTGGCTTAGGGGGTGTGAGCAGGGTGGCCAGGGCTGTGGCTATGCACTGGCTGCCATGGTTGCACTGGGAGCTGGGCAGGCTCCAGAATACAGGGAGCCCAAAGATAGCTTAAAGTCACCTTACCCCACCCCTCTATTCTGCCCCAAGGGCAGGAAAGGACTCACTGGGAATTCGGCCTTTAACCTAGTCCATTCCCACCACGAGGGGTTCTCTAAACAGCCTCTCTCCCCGCCACGTAGCCAGGCCGTGAGCTCAGACCTGGGCAGATGCCAAGCAATTCACTGCATTGGTGCTGGAGCTGGGCCAAGCCTAACCCCATTGCTTCCTCCTGTAGGTACAGGCAGGCAGCCAGAGACACGCCCCAGTCACCACGTCTGCTCTGAGAAGAAGCACTGCCCTTGGAGTAGCTCCCATGCTAGACCTGGTGGAACCAATACCACTGGTACTAGAGCCCCGGGTACCTTAGATGCCGATCCCCACCAGTATCCAGGGCCACGGGGACCTTAGACGCCGATCCCCAGCGGTATCCAGGGCCAGGGGTACCTCAGACGCCGATCCCCACCAGTATCCAAGGCCACGGGGACCTTAGACGCCGATCCCCTCCAGTATCCAGGGCCACGGGGACCTTAGACACCGATCTCCAGCGGTATCCAGGGCCAGGGGCACCTCAGACGCCGATCCCCACCGGTATCCAAGGCCTTGGGGACCTTAGACGCCGATCCCCACCGGTATCCAGGGCCA